TGCACAGAACGGATGTGTGAACTCGCGCCTCTCACTGATCAGCAATTGGTTGACATTGAAGGTTCTGGCCATGCTCAGAAGCAGGCTGCCCACCAGCGGTAGGCTGTCTTCTCTAATCCACCACCTTTGTATAGCCCAGGTGTGGTTGATCTGTTTCACACACTCCCGATGCATCATCACAGCCGCTGCGCTCTCATGTTGCCAATGAATATATGTGTGTGTGTGTGTGTGTGTGTCTGTGTGTGTTGTATACACATGTAATCACATAAATATGTATACTTAAATAGCTACATATATATATATATATATATATATATATATTATATATATTATATATATATATATATATATATACGCACCTCTCCGAGGGAGTAGAGCTCAGAGGCGATTAATGCGCACGCGTCCGCGATTTTTCTGGGCGTTTCGCTCGGGACATCCTCGAAATTCTGAAAATCGGTGGCACCCCTCACGCAGATCGCGACGTCAGGGTCCAAAAACACATGGGAAATTCAACATTTTAACATAACACCTTCAAAAACACATGGTAATTTCAATAATTGTGACCCCGATTCTCAGCTTGAGAAATCCTTCCAAAATCGAGCCCCAGACCCCGCCTCGGAGCTTCCTGGGGGCCTCCTGGAACCTCCTGGGGCCTCCTGGGCCTTCTGAACCTTCTGGCGCCCCAGACCCCGCCTCGGAGCCTCCTGGGGGGGTCCTGAAACCTCCTGGGGCCTCCTGGGGCCTCCTGCGGCCTCCTGGAGCCTCTTGGGGCCTCCTGAAGCCTCCTGGGGTCTCCTGGGGCCTCCTGAGGCCGCCTGGGGCCTCCTGGGGCCTCCTGGGGCTTCAGAACTACATGCACACAGAGACACAAATCACGCCCAACACATCACACGCTAGACAAACATACACACACACACACAACACCTACAACACACAAAAAGCACGCACCACACGAAGCATACATCACAACACACACACACACACACGCACAACACTCACAATCCTGGGGCCTCCTGGAGCCTCTTCTGGTATCCAAGTCGGGCCTCCTAAGGCTTCCTGGGGGCCCTGGTACACACATCGCAAGGTGTGGCAACCCCACTTGCGCTCGAGTGCGACTTCGATGTTGCATTTCACTCCTGCTTCAAACGCCCCTTCAGTTTTTTGTATGAGCCTGGGCACACACGTGCCACTTGTATATATATATATATATATATATGTAAGCTCTGTGGTGTAAGCGAGGTGGTGTAAGCTATGCCATGCAAGCTCAGTGGTGCAAGCTCAACGCACGGGGCACCCACGAGCGTCTGCGAGGCGGCAGCACGGCGCGACCCGGGCGGACCCTCCGAGCGCACGGGGCGCCCACGAGCGCCCACCGGTCGGCATGGGCGGCAGCGTGGCTACGCCTCGGCGGCCATACCCAGCGCACGGGCCGCCAGCGAGGCGCCCGCTGGGCGGCAGCGCGGCGAGGCCTCGGCGGACCCACCCAGCGCACGGGCCGCCCGCGAGGCGGCCATGGACGGCAGCGCGGCGAAGCCTCGGACCCCGCCAATCCCTTAGGGGACCCACGGGGGAATCCCCACGTGCAAACACTGCTTGGGAGGAGAAGGAGTAGCAGGAGGAGGAGGAGGAGGAGGAGGAGGAGGAGGAGGAGGAGCAGGAGGAGGAGGAGGACGAGGAAGGGACAACGGTGACGGGATGCCAGCGCACGTGGGGACGTCGCTATCCCGGGCGCGCTTGGGAAGAGGGAGGCACTGGGATGCCATCTTGTGGTGTAAACGTTGGGGTGCAATCTATGCAGCGCCATCTCGGTCGTGGTCTTAACGGGGCGCAATATATATATATATATATATATATATGTAGTGGACTCGTTGTAGTACCACTGGAAAAAAAAGGCAGCACGTGAAGTCGTGCACTCCAGCGCTTGTCGTCGATTCCGATTGCACGAGCAAGCATCCCAACTTGTTGGCAACACTGAACTGATACAATGACGCGCGGACGTTTCTCATGTAGATCCGTGACGCAGGTGGGCAACAGCTAATGATGATGGCGATGCTGACAGTTAGGGCGACGACGACGATGACAATGTTGATGACGGAGGTGGGGATGATGACGAGTTTGGTGATGAAGCTGGTGGGTGGCGATGATGACAGTGACGATGATAACGCTGGCGACGGTGACAACGATTGTGCTGATGAGGACGATTAGGCAGTGAGCGCGCGAAGGAATCCAGAAACCATGTCAGGTGAAAGCAATGAGATGTGTGTTGAGCACCTCGGTGTTGAAACGCTTACAACACAATTGACGTTGTAAGAAGTTCAAGGTCCGCGCGCAGAAACACGCGCTTGGGGCCCGCAACATTTTACTTGACAAGGCTGCCGGGCGTGCGGTGCTTGCTGGATGTCCGTGACATGCGTGCGCGAGGCCCGCATGGCCTCGCTCGGCAGCACGGCCAAACACGTCTGCTTCTCATGGCTTCAGCGAGCGAGCGCGCAGAATTCTGCCACATTCCTGGTGCGGCAAGTTTGTGCCGTGCCGACCCTGGCGCTGGTTTCTGACACCACGGGGATCGTTGAACCTTGAAGAACGATCGGCCGTTTCCAAAACGTCAGATCGTTCAGCATCAACCGATTCGGGGTCGCTGGCGGCGTTCAACGTTGAACGCCGGCGGCGGGGTCGCCGCCGGTCGACACGACGCGAACCTACCGTAGGGAGCAGCGATTGGATGTTGTATCAATGCCTTGTGTATGTGCGTAAACTCAGGTCGGGCATGTCCGTCTGCAGGCGGACTTTGGGCGACAACTTTGAAAGAGTCAAGCAACTAATCAAAAACTGTGAGTCAAAACATCGTTAGCCGACTATTTTTAAACTACGTTTGAATGCTCCTTCTGCAGAGGGACACGCCTGCCTTAATGGTAGGGGGCAGCGATTGGATTTTGCATGAAAACCTTTTGGATGTGCGCAAAACTTTGTTCAACCACTTGCTCTGGACGGATTTGATGGCGTGCGCGTGCGAAGGCTTGCACGCGGGGACTGCATGGGGGTCCTGACACACCGCGGTTGCTACGTCAACGCGTGCACACCACATGGGCGATTTCGAAAACCCTGAACCCGAAAACGTCTTCATCTCCTGGGAGCGCATGTTTTACTTCCGCCACCTTCCGCCGCCCTTTCGCCGGCTTCCGCCGGCGGCGACGGCCTCGTTCTGTACTTCCGCCGCCCTTCCGCCGCCCTTCCGCCGCCTTCCGCCGCGGAAGAGATGACAGCTCCTTCGATCCTCGAAGGCAAGGCCCTTTTGGAACGCCCCACGTGAGCGGCGAAAAGACACGGGTCTTATGCGATGACGTAGGCACCTTACGCGGCGGCTCACGCGGGCCGCCAGCGCGGCACACCACAACGGAGACGAGGGCGCTTACGCGCGCCCTTGCGCGGGCAGCTGACGCGCCAATGTCGGCGAAGACGACCCGGCTTTCTTGCGTCGCCCACAGGTTTTTCTTTGGCAGGGGCGATGGGCGCAATGCGATCACGCGTCGGCAGGCGCCGTAGCATCGGGCAATAAGAAAACAAGCGCCCGTGCATCATAATCACGAGGGAGCAACCACACGTGGAGGCGAGCGGATAGCCCTGGCCCCGGTGGGGTTGGGAGGCGGGGTGGACTCGAATTCCTCTGAAGAACTGGAATCGACGTGGTGCCAAAGACGAAGACGGCGAGGACCACGAAGACGAGGAAGAAGACGACGAGGACGAGGACGATGACGAGGAAGAGGAAGGAGACAGATGGGGCGGCCGCGGAGGAGAGGGGATGAGGGCTCTCCGAGGCGGAAGACTTCCGACCTGAGCGCGCTGGCGCGGCCGGCCTCGTCCGCGGGGACCGCGGCAGCTGCTGGGCCGCAGCGCCGGGGCACCCACGGGCAAAGACGAGGCCCACCCCCAGGCCCCTGGAAGTCCCGACCCTGTCCCCGGGACGGGTTCCTCCTCCCGCATCGTTTCCTGACTGTCCCGAGGCCCAGCGAGGGACCCACAGGGCCGAAGCCGGCCAGAAACCTCCCGTCCGGATTTCTGTCACGACGCGCTCGTGCCCGGGACCCGCGCACGAGGCGCCCACGAGGCGCCTCGACAGGTCGCCCGCGGGGCGGCAACGGGCGCTCGCCAGCCGACGGAGGCCGGGCAGACCGGGCCCGATCCGCGGGGTGGGCGCCCGCGAAGGCGCCGCGGGCGCTGGCCGCTGGCCGGGCGCGCAGTCTCGGCGGGCCCGGCCCGTGGCCGAGGCAGCGGGGCAAAGGGAGCACCTCGGTGCAGGCCTTGTCTGCTGCTCCCAATCGTACTTATAATAAGGGCCACATCCCAGAAAGACTTTCGAGCACCCAGAAAAAAGTGTCGAAAGAGCTGTGCGCGCCAAGTGCTTTATCCCCTTGCACAGCTGTGTTCTAGCGCTCGGCCCGTTGCTGAGGCAGCGGGGCAAGAGCACCTCAGTGCAGGCATTACGTTGCTCCTCTCGTACTTGAGGACCACATGCCAGAAATACGTTCGAGCACCCAGAAAAGTGTCGAAAGAGTGTCGAAAGAGTGTCGAAGCAGTGTCGGGCGAGTGTCTCCCAGGGCCCGACGCGCGAAAAGCTCGGAGTTTCGGCACATTTTTGGGCGCTCGAAATTCTTTCCGATGATCAGGGCTAAAGTAGGTTGGGACATCATAGTGCAAGCACTGTTTGGAGAAGCTGTGCGCGCCAATTGCTTTATTCTCTTGCACAGCTGTGTTCTAGCGCTCGGG